GTCAGAGCAAGGCTTTGGGCATGTTTTTTATGAGAGTATAATATTATATCATGATATAAAACTCAAAAAAGTTGATTTTACATGATATTGCCCCTTTAAATAAAAAAAATCGACTAGATCTCTACGAGCTGCAGGTGAAAATCTTTATTTTTGTCTTAAATGAATCAATAACAACAGTTCCATTCTATGGCTTTTTGTTCAACAGAATGTGGCTTCTCATCTTGCAGACAGTGTTGGTGCTGTCCTCAAGGAGAAAACCTTTTTTTTAGCTTACAATTGTGTCACTAATAAACCCTAAGGAGTTTAACATTAACGGTTTAATAAGCATTCAGAAATGTGACATTTTAGCTGCTTTCACTTATAACCACCATGTTTCACAAAACTCCTACCTGCTCGGATCATTAGTAAGAACTTTCACACTGATGAGACATACTGTATGTCAAGAAAATTAAAGGTAACCAAGGTCCAAATATAGGTACTAATATGTCATGTTTGAACTTAAATAATAGCTTCATCAATCCGTTAAGTTTCAATTATTACTGACATATCTTTTATACAGGATAGCCTATTTGCAGTAAGCTTAAACCTAACAATATAGAGAAGGGTTAAGATATAAACTGTGGGGCTGTGTATCAGCAAGAATTTGGTGATAGAATGCATATCACGACACAGGGGTCACAATATGATAAATTACAACATAGTTCGATAACGTAAGCAAGGCGACATATTGACATTTTTTCTCCAAAAGATACTGAGAAAAAAATACATAAATAAAATTTAAAACTCCATATATAAAAGCACATCATGCATAAAATCTGATTAAATTCAGTTTGCAATCAGCAGAACACTGAACAACAGTGAGAATTGGATTTGTAATTCACATTTTTTTGCAACATCTATCCATTAAGCCTTGATTTAAAATCAACCCAGTGCTTTTGAAAATTGATACAGTATCAGGAAATAAAATAACCCAATATTTCAGTGCATCTATATTTCCTTAACCCCTAATAAACAGCATGTCTCATTTGGCCAAGGGGTGCACTAGTTGCAGTTTTTTGACTGATCACCAATCTCTAAGAATTCTGACCTGCCGATTCCAATTTTGGCCAAAACGGATTATTTAAATACCTGCCACAATCAGGTGTTATAAGGTCATAATACACCTTCAATGTCCCAGTCTTATTTTACTGAAAAACAATAAACAATACACTTGAATTCTATACAAACTTGTTTTAACTGGACAGCAGCCCTCTCTCACAGCAGAGAAAAAGGGGACAATGGTCAATTTTCAGATTTTGCGGAGGTAGATAGGATTAGTTGATAAGATCGGCATCTCGTGTAAGTATCAGCCATTCGTAGATCACTCAAAATTAAGAAAGCCAGGGCCGATAAATTGTACCAGCACATGCACCAATAATTTTCCCTTAAATAAACTAAACAAAAGTCCCCAAATGAAAATGACGAATATTTACACAAAATCAATTTTATGACAAAACTACATGTTCCAAACAAAAATTCCAYTGTTGTCTTCTGCATAATGACTTCTGTTGTCATCCCAGTGGACAATGGAGTTTTCATGGCAAGAGGAGAAGAGAGAGCCACTCCAACAGAGAGCCTCTCAGAGTCTAATCTGTGACTAAACTATCCCCAAGAAATTCCAGGAGTTACYGGTGTCTCTGCAGGCAAAACAAAAGTGCAAAGACTCAGTCTCATTCCAGGATTATATGAAAACTGGGAGATCTCTGAGCTGTACACCTGACCACAACAGAAACACTGCGTCTGTTGCTTCTCTGCTCTGCGGGCCTCAKAGTATATACTGGTGGTCAGCTGGTGCCACAAAAAGAAATCCTAGTCTCCAATACAACAGAATCAAGAGGAAGCCCAAATCCTACCTTAGGAAATGCTACTACATCCTGTTGTTGGGTTTGCCACAGATACACAAAGGATGTAAACCCATTAAAAGAAAGGAAAGGAAAGAAATACTCTTCAAAGAAGTCTCCACATCAGAACAAGAATTAAACTCCCTGGTGACACATTTACAAAAAAGTGTTTTCTGGCTGCATTTGGCTTAATAACCATAAACATCAACATGTTTGGTTCTAATTGTTTTATAAATTTATGTTTTTATCATCTACAGTAAATTTAATTCATGATTTACAGATTGAACGAGCTGTACAAAAAAAGGCTTATACTTTAAACATGTGTGCTGGTATAGCTTCCTTTTGTGAGGTACATCCAGTCGGCCATGAGGACCAATATTGGGTATTTAACAGTAATAGGCTAGATTAAACAAAATATTTAATATCAGATAACATGCCAGGAGTTGTCTAATCATCATTTTGAAAGCAGTGAAAAAGCTGGATAACATCCAAGCTGAAACACCTCCACTATGACTGAATACATCAACAGGGGATTAGGATTCTTCTGTGCGTAACTGCAAAGAATAAGAAGATTCCACATAAGTAATATTTTACCCCTTAAAGATTAAGAATATTCTAAGAAATCGCTGTACTAGAAAGGGCAATACTGACTGATCACAATTTTGTGTAGCARTGCATTTAAAAATGGGCTCAATCCAGTTGTGGAATTTACTGAAACTCCTCAGAAAGTCAACATAAAGATGCTGTGAACAGCTACGTGGCATGTTTATATGTGGAGGCACCATTATAATGAATGATTTATCCAGCAACATGTGCCACTTAAAGATAATAACTTGAGATGTGGATTCCTGTTGTGTTAAACCATATTTGCCGATGACCACCATGGAGGGGGTCAAACTGTCTCAYCCACTAGTCTTAAAGAACACAAGTTTTACACTTAAAAAACAATGAAAAAAATTATAATATATTAGAATACGATCAAACAAGTACAAATTAGAATAGGTCTGCTGAGTTACCATGCAAAATGTTGGTTTATTTCCTCCATGCGTGAATACTCTTCCACAAATTACTGCAGCTTCCTACTGACTAACCAATGACTCATGCAGTTCAAATCATACTTTCCAATGTTTCTGAGAAGAACTTTCTGAGAATGTGCTGTTTTTAACTAAAAAAATACTTTTAGTGATCAGATCAGTCAYGAATAACTTGGCTAATTAATAATCAATTTGAAATACATGTTGCTTCTCTATAATAAACATTAAACATGTTGATTTGCTGTGTCTGTTGAAACTAAGTGAGTCTAGAATAACAAAACTGGAACCACTTTCCAATTAGCAAAACACCAGTTTTGCTTGAATAAATAGGAACCAGACTGTTTACAAGTAATTAAGATGTGCTCTTTCCTTATGTGCAGTAAAACACAGCTATTTTCGGAAACATCAAGTATGATCCTCAAGAGCTTACATGGTTCTTACACTCCTTAAAAACAAGCATTTTCAAGGCAAATATTAACCCTCCTGCTGCCCAGTTTTAACTGAGGCTTTAGGGTKATTTTGACCCAAGGACAGCAGGAGGATTAGGCTTTATTAGGGGGATGAATGTTAGACTGTCAACCAATYAAAACACCCCATTCAACATGAAGT